CCCAGGACATGTAAAGCCCCTCTGTGCAAGCTGATGCTAGGGCACATGTGCACTTTTCAGTTGCATCATTTGTCCCAGACCCAGTGACTGTCCTCTGCCCAGTCCTGCCAATTTGCTGATTAGGGGGATCGAGCAGGGAACTGGAATGTAGCTGCCCACTGCCCTCTGGCTGATTGATGGGCTTGCATAGACAGCAGCCTCTGTGTCTGGAACCAATTGCCCCTGTCCTTTGAAAAGTACACAATGCATCTGATATTGGGGAATCCTGTTCCCTTATGACAAGTTGCTCTGATGGATAGGGTGCCCTGTTTAGGCAAGTTGAAAGGTGTGCTGTGCTGTCTATCATTGAGGCACCAGTTCCCTTATGCTGGGCAAGTTAGGGGTGCACCGATAGAGATTTTTAGGGCTGATACTGACGGCTGATTTTTAAGGAGCCATATTGGCCGATATCAATCTGGTTCTGATATGCAGCTGGGCAGGTTGGAGACCAGCGTTGGGCTGGTAAGTCTGTTGTGTGGAGAGGGAAGGGGAGTGGAGGGGGTGGGGAACAGATCGAGGACCTAGTGGTCAGGGAGGGAGTGGGGCTGGGGCAGGCACTGCTAGGCCAGGGTGAGGTGAGGCATGGGACAGAGCCGCGAGTGGCTCTTTTGGGGGGTGTGGGGAGGGGTTGGCAGCTCCCACCGCCCCAGACACCCTGAGAGAGCATGGGGGGCTTATGCCCCCAGATATGCGTGGGGCAGGGCAGGTTGCTGCTGTGGGTTGGGGCCAGGGGCAGTGCCAGGCTCTTCCTGGTGCAGGGGCTGGGCTGAGCTGTGCTTGGGGCAGGTGGCATCAGCGCTGGGCAGTGGGGCTATGGGGGGCTGCAGCTTCCCCAAAATTTGCTATAGCTCCCCCTCCCCATAGCCCTGCTTCCAGCGCCACTGCCATCCGCCCCGAGTGCAGCCTGGCCCAACCCCCCTGTTGGGAAGAGCCCAGTGCTGGCCCTAGCCCACAGAGGCAGCCAGCCCCGACCCACACAGATCCAGGGGCACACCCCCCTCATGCCCTCCTGGGGTGCCCAAAGTGGCAGGAGCCACCCCCCGGACGAGCTGCTTGCAGCTGCATCCTGCGCCCCGCCCCGGCTGAGCAGGGCCTGTTCCAGCCTCACTCCCTCCATCACTGTGGGGGCCTCGATCTGCCCACTCCTCCTGACGCCCCTTTCCTTCCTCCGCCCCTTCCTCCACAACAGACTTAACAGTCAATTCTTCTCTCCAAGCTGCAGGTCTGCCCTCCTGGCCCTGTGCATGCTGTGGCTATGAGCATGCACAGGGCATTTATCTGCCACACCAGGCAAAAAAAGCTGATTGCCGATACTCTCAATTTTCCCTATATTGGTGCTGATCCCATATAGGACCAGTGTATCAATGCACCTCTACTAGCAAGTGTTTAAAGGTCCAGGCATGAGGGGAGCCATGGATTAGAGACCAGATCCCTGATCTGGGGCTCCCAATGTACCCGCAGATGCATGGTGGGATCTGAGGAATTTAATCACTGGTCCCAAAAATCGTGTATACTGCCATGCACATCTACGATGGCAAGATGCACAATTTTGGCGATCGGGGATAAAATTCCTTAGATTCCATTATGTGATTGAATTAACATCCTGCCAGGGCCCTCACTAGCTGCCTGCAGGGGGTTTGACAGGCTATTGCTTTGGTTGACCCCAACTTTTTGTGATTGTAATACCACTTTCTTGTACTACGAAGTGAGAGTATATGATTATGTTGCTCAGTAGTGCTTTTAAACTGATTGCTTTTTTAAAACTGTTTCTGCTTAATCAAGGTATAGGGTGATTTAGTGACACCTCACATCCTAGCCTTCTGTTGATGAATTACATTGTCACTAGGGGTATTAATAGTGAAACAGCAGGCCATTTCCGAAGGGCAACTCACAGGTCAAGATCAGCTATGCTTTGGACTGAATATGGATATTGAATTAGTAGTTTCAGACTGTAGTTAGTTGTATAGGCTTGATCTGCACACTGTTACATGCAAACACTACATTTAAAGAATTTCGATATTGTAAAGTTAAGTATTTGGAATTCATGAAATGCCTGAATTGAAAGGGCTTATGCCCCCCTTAGCATGTGTCCATCTTCATATGCATTATTGCAGAGCCTTTACATGATCTTACATGATCCTTAATCCTCATTCCAGGCTCCCCACTCTCCCTCAGCCTGTGCCAGTTGTTTGTTCCAGTCTTCCATCTAATCCATTGGCTCCCAGTCCTAGTCTCCTTGGCTTTCCAGTCCTTCCTCTCCATTCTGAGGCCATGTGTAGACGAAATGAGCGGCATGTGTGCACGACACTTTAAAGTGGGTTAAATGCTTTTGCACCGCCTTAATGGTGTTGGTGTTTGCACGCCTTCGCGGCATATTGCACAGTAATTCCAGCTACTGTAGCGAATTTGGCAGCGTAATGCGCCTTAAATAACTTGGGGTGCAGCAAACTAAAACTCTTCTGAGGAGTTTTAGTTTGCTGCCCTACAGCCACAGAGCGAAGCACTAGGCTCTGTGCAGCTCAGGGACTCTGCAGAAAGCCCGTGCAGGCAGCCTGGCAACAGCTCGTGAAGGCAGGCTCCACCCAAGAAGAGCAGTGAGCCTGATCTTTTTTCTTTTTTTCCCCCCTGGAACCTGCCTGCCTGCCTGAGCTGTGTGGGGGCCTGATGTTTTCCTCCGCAGCTCTGGTGCCCCCCAGGACCAGCCAAGCTGCGTGCCTGCAGGCGGGTGTCACCTTGGTGGGGAGCCACCACTGCCGTGGAGGGAAGCACCAGCCCCCACCTCTGCAGCCCAGGGACCACTCCGTCCACTGGCAGCTCACCCTCCCCTCCCTGCCGCTAGAGAGGCAAGTAAGTTTGGGTGTGTGCATGGCATGGGGGTTTAAAGGGCCCTAAATTGAAGTGATGTTTTTAAAAACCCACCACTTCAATTTAAGGACCCCGTTTCGTCTACACACGCCCTGAGGCAGATGACTGGCATAGAAAATTTCAGGCCAGACATTTAACGTTTGGCATACCCAACCAAATAAAGGATCTTTAGAACGAAGGATGCCAAGCAGCATTAAAGCTGCATAGCACTGGTAAGTACTAATGCCACCTACAGTGCAACTGGCAGGATGCAGTCTGGGAGCAACTACTGATGTAAAAACAATTAGAAACTCATTTGATAAGATACAGGAATAATTGGTTTGGCAGGTTTAGTTTGGCATTTCATGATTCATGTCCAGGGAGGTTTTTTTGGTGTCTGAGATTTAGGGTTAAAACCTCTCTGATCTCACTTCTATTTGTATTTAACCTCCTCCAGAATGTTACGGGCCGGTTGATGGTTGGGCTTCGCTGGTGGAACCAGGTGGATGACGATGGCAAGAGTCACTGGGTATTTGAAGCCAGGAAGGTAAATGGTTTTCTTTACACTTGTTTCAACTGATACTGTTTGGTAAAATCTCTATCCCAGCAGGGGTTAATCTTGACATAGTAGACTGTGATATTTTGTGACTTCCGTCCTTCCAGTGCCACAGTAATGGCACTGTGACTGCCACCTTGTTCTGCTCGGGTTAATGTCCCAGGTTACTGCTGTAGTTACTGGGCTGTCTTTTCTCCAAGTTTTACCAGTTTAAAAATTAATACAGATTAAAAGGAAGAAATAAAAAAGCAGTGTAGCAGCAAAGTTGTCCATATATTGTAATGCTGTATTGGGTTAATAGTTTAAGTGTTAGTGGCTTGAGAAAGAAATATAAATATAAATGGGAAATTTGTATTTCTAGAGAGATTATACTTGTGGAATCTACTCTTTTTATACCTGTGGCCCTTCCTACAAGCTCAGTAATACTAGAACTAACGTGAAACGCTATAAAAGCAGTAGCTGAGTGCCAACAACCGCTACGTATTTTATATATGATACCGTGCATTCCTCTATATACCAAGGGTATAAAATGTAACAGCACCTCACGGGAGCAGCTACGTACATATTTGCCTGTACTGTGCTTAGAAAATACTAATTGTTAATTGTATATTTTGCCAGGCCCATGCTCTGTGTGTGTGCACAGTAGGGCTGTGCAAAGATTCAGTAGCTGATTTGATTTGGAGGAGATTTGGCCTTTTTTGGGAACCGAATCTCCAGATCTGAATAGAATTGGGAGACCAATTAAAAGCTCCAAATAGATTTGGAAAAGCTTAGGAAAAGATTTGGCTGCTTAGGAGATTTGGCCATAGACTAAACAGGCAGTTGACACAGCTGCCTCCAGCTGGTAAGTCTGTTGGGGTTGGGAGGGAGTGGGGGAATTGGGGCTGGGACAAGCTGCCCAGTCAGGGAATGGGCGGGGGCATGGGATGCAGATGTGTCAGCACTGGGAGCGGGGACTGTGCCTTGCATTCTGCATTCCCCCCCACCCCCAGCATGCTGGCTGGTAAATGGTAGCAGGGCAGAGCCACTGCTCCCAGTGCTGATGCAGATGCAGCAGCACTGGGAGTGGGGGCTTTGCCTTGCTGCTGCCCGGAGTGAGCCGCGCCTGCATCGTGCCCTTCCCTTCAGCATCTGATGGGCAAGCAGCAGCGGGGCATAACCCCTGTGGGTAGAGGCAGGCACAGCCAGAGGAGTTGTGGGAGAAGCCCTCATGGCTGCCCATCCCTGCCCCATCCCTCACCTGGCCCCAACCTCTGGGCACTTTAAAAAAAAAAAAAAAAAAAGCCCTGCACTCTAGCAGTGGTGATTGGGGCCTCTGGGTGCTTATGGTAAAGCCTCCCTGCTCACTGAGGGCAGCAGGGATTGCCCCTCACCCCTGCTTGGGACCCGTGCAGCAGCTGCCCCATGGCATGGGTGCAGCACGGCTTGGCAGGGTGCCACGTGCTGTCTGGGAGCTGGGGTGGCTCCACTTGTTAGCAGGAGCCCGGCACTGCTCAGCCCTAGCTCCCAGACAGTAAATGGCATCCTGCTGAGCTGTGCTGCACCCACGTGATTCAATAGCTGCTGCGCCAGTGCCAAGCTGGGTGGGGGGCTGATCTACACTGCCCCCCATGCTGTGCAGGAGTGGGGCTCTGCCACGAGTGCCCAGAGGCCCCAATTACCGCTGTTGCAGCCAGCTTAAAAAAAAGAAAAGAAAAATGCCCTGCACTCACCGGCTGCAGCAGCAGCACCGCACACTGTCTGGGAGCTGGGGCCACTGGGGCTGAGCAGTGCTGGGCTCTGGCTGACAGGTGATGCCACCCCAGCTTCCAGACTGCTTATGGCGCCCTGCCGATTCCCACTGCCCCGTGCTGCATGGGTGCGCTCTGCCACGAGCACCCAGAGGCCCCAGTCGCTGCTGCTGCAGCTGGTGGGTGCGGGGCTTGCTTTTTTTTTTAAGTGCCAAGACTAGGCTGGGGCCGAGCAGGGCTTCTCCCGTGGCTCCTCTGGCTGTGCCTGCCTCTCCCCGGGTGGGGAGAGGCTCAGCAGAACCTGCAGGAGCCCAGCTATGCCTGCTTTTCCCTGGCCAATCCGAATCTCTCTAAATCAGCGCTGAATCTTCCAAAGCTGATTTGGCTGAATTGATTCAGGACAGTGATCCGAATCTCCAGATTGAATTACTGTCCTCCGAATTGGCCGAATCCAAATCCAATACTTCCCTATTCGCACAGGCCTAGTGCACAGTGCTGTAGCAGATACTTTTTTTCTAAGTGCAGACCATTGTTAACTTTCTGGATGCTGCAGTTCAGTTAGCAAGTTGGTGCAGGGTTATTTGGAGTGGGGGGCTACAGGGGTAGTCCAGTGTTTCCACTCACAGTGACACAGGTTATCTGAGGAAAAAACCCCAAACAAACCAGTTTTTTTAACAGTAATAAGAGGTATCACAGTGATTCCCTCCCACCCCCTTATTTTAAATAGTAGTGCTGTATGGTGAAGGATGTGATGATGAACCCTATATGCCATCAGGAACTAATAATGAATAGCGCAGAAGCAGTCTTTATCCAGTCCTGAAATAGTAGAGGGTTTCTTCTTTCACCTTTGTAGTGTAGGATTTTCAGATATATTAGGCTGTAGTTATTCTAAGCTATAGTTGAGCTGTGGCACCTCAGGGCCACGGGAGTTAGCAGGCATTACTGACTTCTGGGTGATCTGGTAAAAGACAATGAGCAGAAATGCTGATTCAAAGTAGGCAACAGTACCTGAACAAATTAAGGAGTAAAAAGTTAGAACTCACTAGTAAGGTAGAGAGGAGGTGAGCTGTACTAAGCAGCGAGTGAGCAGGAGAACCTGAAATCAGCGGAGGGAATTGTAGTTGGCATGGGATGAGCCACAGGTGTCTGTCCTTGGCAGAGACAAGTAAAAAGGGTCAACTTGACAGAGAAATAAAGATTGGTACAGGGGCACCTAGGCTATAAATACAAGAGTTGTCAGATTCACTCTTTTGTAGCAACTTAGGGGTGACAGTTGCACGTAACGTATTGCTTACCATTGTCCTGGGCAGTTTGACTGAGCTGGACTGATTGCTATAAAGATCCACTATTGTACTGCCCTGAGACAATAAACCTATCGGAGCTTTCACCACTGAACACTAATTCAAGTTGTTCTTTCTGTGTTGCACCTGGGCTCCAGGAAGGTGGCTTCAGGTAGTGGCTTCTGAGAGCGTATGGACCCAAGCAGCCTGAACACAAAGAGTGGCAACAGGCAGGAGGCTGGCTGTGAACCCTCCTAACCCCCGTATGCCTCAGAACAATACATCAGTATGAAAACTAATAAAAGATCCTTTAAAGTTGATGTGTACCTTGTCTACCAAAAAGATCCCCCTGCTGTCATGTGGAGATGAGGTCTTGTGGAATGTGGGGCCTGGATTGCTTTTAATAATAAAAATTATCTGTACAAAGAAACAGACCACCAGTTTCAGCTCCATTCCATTTCCAGGCATCAGCTCGTGGGAATAAGGCCTCTTCTGAAGCAGAGTCCCGAATCTTCTGGTTGGGATTAATTACCTGCCCTATGATCTGGGTGATATTTGCATTCAGCGCCCTGTTTTCCTTCAAAGTGAAATGGCTGGTGAGTTTTATTACTTCAGTCCTACAATGACTATGTGTAAATAGGCCTGTTATTAGAATAGTGAACTGTAAACCCCCGATTCTTGCTTTTTCTTCTCCTTACAGGCAGTGGTCACAATGGGTGTAATTCTGCAGGGGGCCAACCTGTATGGTTATATCAGATGTAAAGTAGTCACGATTCAAGTGTCAGCCCTGAGTGCCAGGCTGGACAGCAGCTCTGCAGAGTGCTCCTCCTTGTGGGCATCTTGCAAGAGTAGAGGGTAGCAAGCCTGTGCATCACTGAAAGCCTTCAAAGTGAGACTGACAAAGGGCCTAGAATATCTATAGAGG